CGGAGGGAGAGTTGTCGTGCTCGTTGTTGGGGTGGGGGAGCAGGGGGGCATAAGTGCCTATATTGCAGTGATTGTTTAGGAATAAGGATGAGGGTCGCCAATATCCTAATAAGGTCAATTTAGCAACTTGGAGATAGAGTTTATGAACGTGATTTCCATACAAAATCAGTTAGCTATTGTTTTAAAAGCAACATTGCTTTATCACAAAAGGGCCTTGAATGTGGATCAAAATAATATTATGAGGGAGAAAGAAACAATATCCTCTAAACTTGATCTTAGAATGCTAACGTCTAGAGGAGCTTCTTGAGCCACCAAGAGAAGAAGGCTTCATTGTAGCATTCACAAATAAATAAAAGAGAGGGCGTTCTATTATAAAGACTCACTGCAACATGTTATTCTTCCCAATGTATCACACCTGTAGAAACCTCCTCGTTGTCAAAAGCAATCTTAAAGCCAGACCATTATCTTATGGAGCTCGCTGTGGTGCAGAAACCTTTAACTGTGTTTTCCTTTGATTCCGTATACAAAGAAACGGTTTACCTTCCAGCATCTTTTGCAGACTGTTCCTCATGACATGGATGTTCTCTATCCCGATAAACTGAAACTTGATATTGGAATAATTGTCTTCATTCTCATAGCCTTTCCCCGCCGCACGGTTTGCCATGGCGTTCAGCTGCAGTGGTCAGCAAAGCATAAGTTACATTCAGGATGCAGACATAAGCAGTATGTTTCAGGGACATGCAGGACAAAAGGCAAAATAAGGTGCAGGAACATAATTATGTTTTAAATCATTTAAACGTTGTACAAATCATGGCATACCAGGCATGCGCACTAAGCTTCTATTCAAAAGTCTAACTGGCGGTGTGTGTAAGATGTTCTTCTCTGGGAAGCATTCTCGAGATAAACCCGTCTGGAGTTATCTCTTGCTGTTTCCCATCAGAAATGTCAAAGGGAATATGGAATTCTGTGACAGAGCCAAGTTGTCGCCACACATTGCATTCTTTGGGTTAGCAGAATAGTATCAGCAGATACAGCAGGCAGCGCAGGGCTGGCTCATACTTATACTGGTATGTCTTTCAGTGCTCTTCATAGCACACGTATTGTGAACAAACCCATCATCAATAGGAATAACTACTTCATACTGCCGTCAACAAGGTGCACTGAAGCTGCATGCAGCAATGGACTCACACATCCTAATTATGAGGATGGCACCGGAGCAGACCAGATTTTGTTCTGTTGTACAGAGGGCTACAATCAGTTGGACGGAACCAACTCCACAGCATCGAACAACGCGGACTTGCCTACAAGGATGCTCCAAGACAGCCAGTTAAACTTTCACCAAGCATCACTGAGTTAAAGACAAGTGGGAAAGCAGATGCGAACCCTCCAGAGACAGCACTTCTCTGGCCACCTTATTTAACCCTGACCACAGCCATTGTGAGCCAATTCCAACTCCTATAAGACAGAGAAAAACTGTTTGCCACATAGAATTCCTGAGGTTGTAAGCCTTTCTGGAAGTAGAGGGGCATATCTCTCCCCCGTGGAACAGCCGGTGGGTTTGAACCACCAAACCTTCAGTTAGCAGTAGAGCGCTTCAAGACCTGCACCCCCAGGGCCCCTTTTTCTAGGCTGTAACTGCCCAATTGGTGTAACAGCAGGCATGGACTAGAACTTTCTGCAAGTGTATGTATTGCTACCCAAGGCCGAATTTGCCCCTTTCTTGAGTTTAGTTTGTGCTATTTAAACCTACAGACCTATTAAGAGGCTCTTCTGATCAGTACTATTGTTCCCATAATTTAGCATAGGAAATGTTTGGATTTCCTCATTCAAACTAGGTTAAACATTAACGAACTTTGGGAAAATGTATTAAGCCCAAATGACTGCCCTAATTCTGTGTAGTTAAGTCAAAAAGGGAAGAAGTTTTGCCTTAACTGGGCAATACATATGAGGGTGCTACAAAAAAATGTGTGGAAAATACCAATACCTTTTAAGTCTGTTTTCCACGAGCTTTTTGAAGCCCCTTCATATTTTCTGAACCACATACTCTTATTTCTGAGACTCTAACACAATTAAAAGTATCAACACATAATGACAGAGGTCCAAGAATACTTACTGTAGTAGCATTGTTTGTAACAGTGAAAAACACGAAAATCGTGAGTCTATCAACATTCACCATCTGGATCAATTATAGCACATCCCTGCCATAGACAGCACTGAGAATAAGTACAGAGGTCACAGATGGACTTGGAATTGGCCAAGTACACATTACGAAAAAGAGTAAGCTACAGAATCATATTTGCATCCTGTTTTATACAATTATCCTATCAAAAAATCTATAGGTACATATTTATGTTTGTACTCGCTTGGTTAAACAAAATTGCAAAATGCATAGAAAGCCATGTCCACGTGGTAGCAGTTACTGCAGAAAGAAAGAAGGTAATAACAGCCATCGAGTCACTTCTACTCATAGCCACCCTGCGGGACAGGGTAGGACTACCCCTGTGGGTTTCTGAGACTGAGGCTTTTTCTAGAAATAAAAAGTCTGAGCTTTCTCCAGTGGACCAGCGAATGCTTTCAAACTGCTGACCTAGTGGTTAGCAGCCAGCATGTAGCCCGCAGAGCAGGCACCATCAGTCTCCGTTAGGCAGTGAGTGGACTGGTTGAAGTCCTTGGGTGGTGCAAGCATGAACATGCTCTCCTGTGAACAGAAACATCTCAGAACAAAGGCTGGTTGATCGACTTCTGAAAAACTGGCCACTGGAAACCCGAGGGAGTGCAATTCTACTCTTAACACATATGGGGGCTAGGATTCAAAATCAAAACCACGTAGCATAGCGTGGTGGGTGACCTACGTACTAGGTTTGTAATTCAAACAAAAGAAGTAAAATGCATTAGGGATTCAAGCAGGCAGTCCTGATCTGTGAGCTATTTCATACGTGTACACTGGCTGAGGTATGTCAGGCCATGCAGACTCTTCTCATTCTGTAAAGACTGTTACCCTTCTCCCGGACATGCTACGTGGATAAAGGGTTTGGCAACAATCAGGAGAAAATGCAAAATGTTATTTTAAAGATAATTCATGTTCATGCTTTAGAATGTAAATATTTTGGGGAGGGGGGTTGTATATAAAATTACAACTTGACTAGCTCCTCTGAAACATTCTTTAAAAATATTTTTGATGGTGTAATTATTTTCAAGAGCTTCTGGCATATCCTTCACAAAACAATTCATCACATAAATCGATTTACAATACGACCAGACCCAGACCACCAAGCTGCCAGCGAGTCGATGTTAACTCATAGTGACCCTACAGGACAGGGGAGAACTGCTCCCGGGAGCCTCGAGACGGTAACTGTTTACAGGAGTAGAAAGCCCATCTTTCTCCCAGGGAGTGTCTGGTGGGTTCAAACTGCTGACCTTTTGGATTTCAGTCCAACTCGTAACCACTACGTCACTAAGGCTCCTTGATAATGACAGCTTATGCTTATTCCAGATCTTGAATGATTCAAGTTTAGCTGAGTCTTCACCCGCTACAGAGATAATCCTCTACAGCGGTGTAATGAATATAAATCTAAAGATTATTATGATAGTTTAATCCATTATTAAGAATCTTTTCACATTTTTAAATAGGCAAGCATCATAAATCTAGGAGAATTTATCGGTAGTCTTGCTTAAAAGCAAAGGAGTCATGTAATACAAGCTGACTTCCTGAAAGTCAGCATGCACTTCAAATAATGAACAGAAGGTGGCAATAGTAAGTCTACCATAAAAAGTGTAGCTTGCCAGAATTTCCAATGTGGCAAATATGGAGCCCTTAAAATACAAACGTTTTTTTTTAAATGAATAAAACTTCAAGAAACGGTCTTAGTCCTATTCAGTACATATTAAAATAGAGTACTTCTGACACAAACAAAACACTGTTAGTAAGTGGAGTGGCGTGAAATTGCTCGCGATGTCTCTCCTAGCCATAGTCTTTGTAACTTCCACTCAGTGCCGGGGTGGCCACAGGCAAATTAGAGCAGAGTCCCCTCAGGGAATACTCAGTTTTGCCTTTTCAACGGGCATAAAAGCGAGTCATGTCAGAAGCAGAAACGCAGAATCCCACGACCATCAGCACACGAGAGCCATACATATGTGAGAGTCCTGGGTGAAGTAGCAGAGGCAGCCCCGGCCAAACCCATACGGTGGAGCAGTGGGCCTCCCAGCTCCGCAAGTGGGGTAACACTGTGTGCTGGAGGGCAGAAGGATGGCTTGCAGAGTGAGGTGCCCTTGGGCATCTATCAGTGCTAAAGAAGCTATATAGCTCTTGCCTAAGCAAGACACAGGCCAAAGGGCTATATGGCTGAGGCCCAAAGACAGATGGAGGACCAGAAAGAGACATGCCTGCTGCCAGGTCTGAGAAGAAGTGCTGCTGTGGACAAGAACACGGCATCCTTCATGTTTTCTGTTCCTGACTTGTGGTAACCTGGTACTAACTCCCCACAAACATCTTTCATCATCATATGTATTATCTGTTATGAGTTCTGTATGGCATTGGAATGGCCCATACAATGGCCATTGAAATAAACCCAGCAGAAAAGTAGAGTGCTGTGGGTAAGATGGTTGGTGTCAAAATAAGTTTGGAGAGTGGAGGTGTGTCTACGCTCTGCCTTGTAGCCACTGGCCTGGAGTTGGACTCTCTTTCTCCAGATGTGGCCCCCATGCCATTTTGTCCGAAAGTCTAATTTGGTCGCCTACACCTTTTGCTGAGAACTCCAATTCAGAACCAAAGGTACAGCTCTTCATTTCAGGTAGTAAAAATCTCCAAATCGAGCAGTTGGCATACCCACATTCCAAGCGCAATTTAAGTTGGAGAAACACAACAGACACATGAAGGAACAAGTACCCTGTGTTCCAGTACAAAGCAGATCTGCCATTTGGTGATATTAACATCTTCAGGTGCAGAGAAACTCACAAAGGAGCCAAGAAGAACCCACCCATTCATCAATGATTATTTAATAAATACAGACGGCGTACCGGACACTGAATGGACCAGAAAGGCAAATACACAGCAGTCCCTGCCCCTGTGAGCTTGTAACTGAGTCTGGGAGGGAAAGAAAGAACCTACACCAAATAATAATGGGAAATGTCCACCAGGATTGGGGTAGGAGCTACTCACCAATTCCAGAGGGGAACAGAGCCAATCTGACATCTTAAGTCACAAGGGAAAATTCAACAAAGCCACATGGAATAAGCACACCAGCCTGTGTGATCATGAGGTATCAACGGTGTCAGGTATCAAAAGATTAAAAAAACAAACCATTCTCTCGATGTGAATGAGGGGGGTCAGAATGGAGATCCAAAGCCCATCTGCAGGCAAATGGACATCTGCTCACAGAAGGGCCACAAGGAAGGGACGAGTCAACCAGGGTGCAGCACGGCACCGACGGAACACACAACACTCCTCCAGTTCCTGGATGATTCCTTCCTCCCGCACTATCATGACCCACTTCTACCTTACAGATCTGGCTAGTCTGGAGTACATTGGTACAGATAAGAGCTCTCGACACATGGAATCCAGGACAGATAAATCCCTCAGGGACAGTAGTGGGTGTAGCGATACCATAAGGGTAGGAGGAAGGTAGCAGGGGTAGAAAGGTTGGAACACACACACACACACACACACACACACAC